AGGTGAAGATTCCGTAAGCCAGGTCGATTCTGGTCATTCCAAAGCGCTTTCTCGTACTAGTTCTTCGTCGTCCTCGTCAAAAAGAAGAAGAGACGCTAAAATAAAGGCCTCCATCGCAAGCCTTCAAGCAAAACAGCTTGCCGAACGAGTTAAGAGAGACAATGAAGTACGTGAACAGGAGTTTCAAGAAGAAATGGCTCAAAGGGAATTAGAGTGGAAACTTGAATGTCGAAAACGAGAGCTCGACCTACTACGAAAGAAAAGAGAAGACGAAATGGCTGTGATTTCCGCTCAAAATCAAGCTGAGGTGGCATATCTTGAGCATGAAATACTGGGTCAAGAATTTAACGAAGGAAAGGCCTCTAATGATGAAATCTTCAAGGTCAGTAAATCTTCGCCATCTTTGAAACATTATGTAGTGCCCAGTCCTAAAGCAACCTCTTAGGTTGAACGCAAAGATAGTCCCTGTACTGAAGTTGAGCCCGGGATTACTAAGGGATACGTTTTCCAAGAACTCAAAGGAGATGTTTACACAGAGTCCTCTCTGGATAGAAAAGTTGTCTCATATGAATACTCTCCATTGGGTGCAATTTCCAAGCCCTTGCCAGTAAAGGATCTAGAGTTCCATGCAGCTCATAGCAATAGCCTCACTTTAGGCTCTACTCTGGTATCAGTTGCCCAAGCAAGTGAATCAGATATGTTAACACTCATTAATGCAGTGCAGTCGCCTCAACGGGGATTATACCGTCCTGAAAGAAAATACTCTTCTCAAACTATTGCTACCCCTTTTAGTCTACCCTTGAGGCCTCCATCTTACAGAGATTCGTCTTCACCTGGTTATGTGACCGCGTCCCAGCGCAAACCTGCGTCATTTGATAATAGTAATACAGCTGCTCTTGCAACAACCTCTGTTACTTGGTCATTTTGCCGTGGGCCTGGTGGAGAAGTCCCTCCAACAGTTAGTTTCCTAGTGGGGGATGGCAGTGTTGTTCTGGCATCAACGCCTAGTGGTAGTTGCCTTGACAACTTAACCCAAACTCCTCGCGAGTCAAACTTCACTGCCCCATCAAACCACTCTCAACCATCTTACGTAACACAATGGGCCTCAGCCAGCCGGAGCACATCAACCCCTCACTTTGGTGGACCTAGTAGAAATGACAGTCATTCACTACAAGTAGAAGAACCGGTTGACGACAAACAAGCTCTGGCCATCCTTGAAAGCAACACAGTCAAGGAGGAAGGCCACTACAAAACAGCACTGTTATGGAAATGTGAACCAGTCTTGCCTAACAATTATGCTATGGCAGTTTCAAGACTTCATTCCACTGAGAAGAAACTCAAGAAAAACCCAGAGCTAGCAGAGAAATATCAGAATGTCATCAACGATTATGTCACTAAAGGACACGCCCAAAGGATGACACAGGAAGAGGCCAAAGTGATAACCCCAAAAACATGGTACTTACCACACCATGCAGTTGTTAATCCAAACAAGCCTGGAAAGGTCCGTGTGGTCTTTGACGCCGCATCAAAATTTGATGGTGTTTCCTTGAATAACAAGCTTCTGACTGGCCCCGACCTGTTGAACAGTTTGGTAGGGGTCCTTATGAGATTTCGAACTGGAAGGATCGGCGTGATGGCGGACATTGAACAAATGTTTCATCAAGTGAGAGTTTGTGAAGAAGATAGAGACTCTTTGCGCTTCTTGTGGAGAGACTTAGATGAAACGAAGAGACCAAGTGAATATAAGATGACTGTTCACGTGTTTGGCGCTGTGGATTCACCGTGTTGCGCAAACTATGCGTTGCAGAGAACTGCTCGTGATCAGCAAGGGAAATTCAGCGAGGATGCCATCAACGCTGTTCGACGTAATTTCTATATGGATGACCTCCTAGCATCGAAGCAAAACTGCGATGAAGCCACAGGTCTGGCTAAAGATTTGATAGGAATCCTAGCAACTGGCGGGTTTCGCCTAACGAAGTGGATGTCAAACAGCCGAGAAGTGCTCACAGCAATCCCTTCGTCAGAAGTGGCGTGCGACATTATTCACTTAGATCGTAATGGATTGCCTCAAGAAAGAGCCTTAGGCGTCAAGTGGTGTGCAGAGCAAGATCTGCTGAGTCTTGAACCAGCGAAGAGTGAATTCCCAAACACCAAGTGAGGAATATTGAGTGCCACGAGTAGCGTGTTTGATCCCCTAGGCCTTGCCGCGCCCTACGTAATAAAGGCGAAAATGATCATCCAAGAGTTGTGGAGACGCCAGATTGAGTGGGATAGCGAGCTGCCCAATGATATCCTCCAGAAGTGGCAAGGTTGGAAAGAAGGTTTGAAATCCTCTCAAACGATCATGATTCCCCGGTGGTATGGCTTCCACCGCGACCGATGCCTAAAGGTACAACTACACGTGTTCTGCGACGCGTCAGAAATCGCTTACGGAGCAGTTGCGTATTTCCGTGCGGTGACTCGTGGAGATGTCAATGTGAGCTTTGTTTTAAGTAAGACTAGGCTTGCGCCAATCAAAGCCTTGACCATTCCGCGTCTGG